TGGCGCGGTGCTGGCAACAAGCTGCTGTCCAACAAGATCTGCTAGACGAGATTTGCAACGCTACTGCTGATAAAGCCGTCGGCTGCGACCCACGTGATTTGGTAGCAATGCCACAGCACTTGGGCCGCTTGAGGTTCTTGCACAAGCCGCTGTTGTTGGTTTCGGCTGATGCTGTGTCCAAGCTGGTCACCTCGCGTCTGACGGTCCTACCTTTGGATATTCTGCGGGCTATGGACGGGTTGCTGTTAATAGCTTCACTTCTCGAAGGGGAGGCAGCCCGAGGTCAGACATTGGAGCTTGTACGCAAGTGTCAACTATTCAGTGGCCAACAGCTGAAGAAATCAAGGACGTCGGAGCTGTGGAGCATCGGATCGCAACTCCTCGGTGCCGAAATTGTAAATTCGAGGGTTTGGGCTCTTTGGGTTTCGGAGATGATCGAGCAGTTTCCAGAAGCCAGCCGTGCCAGGGGAGTTTCATTGCTGCGACAAAAAATGGCACGCAAATGGGCGTTAGATCGATTCCCGGACGGATTGGAACAAGCCCTTCGAATTGCGCTGCGACCTCCCCAAGCGCCGAGCAAAAGTGACAGGTGCAGGTTGCAGATGCCTCTTCATTCGGCAAGTCTTGCGAAGCTTTGTCATTGTTCATGCAACACGCAGCCACCGCAACTACGCGCACATGCCAGGTAAAGGTAGAGAGTGACAATGCAACGTTTTCGTGTCGTGGGATCCTTACAGTAGGACAAGTAGCCACATCCAACCCACGAATACAAACAAATATGCAAAAAACAAGCCTCATCGCTTGTTTGCGACGAAAAGACGGGAACAGTACGCACTGATAATACATTACCGAGCTGAAGCCCTGATTGCAAAGGCATGCAACAGTGCCACGCACGCACAGATTAACGACATGTTCGACATGTTTGCTCACAGTCCTGTGCGCCGTTAGTAAGTAATTACTTCTGCAACTATTTGCGACACTGGCAGTTGCCGCTACACCATCATGCAAGAAGATGCATGAAACAGGAACATACTGGAATGCCTTCGCTTTATCATGTAACAAAACCGAAAAGTAATGAAATTATGAGCCCTTGCCAACCACAGCCAACCCCAGATGCTGCTAAGCGCTTTGCAAGTTCTTGGACGCAGACCTCTTTGGGAACGAGTGCTTGCGTAAATTTGTGAATGTGTTCTACCTGCTCGCAGTGGCTGCCTGAAGGAGGTCTTCCGATTACAGCGACAGCATGTGTACGGGTGTGAATGAATATATATATATATACATCACATATATATATATACATATATACACATATACACATACATACATACATACATACATACATACATACATACATACATGTATATATATATATGTGTGTGTGTATGTATGTATGTGGTACTTTTGTATGTATGTATGCATGCATGTATGTAGGTAGGTAGGTAGGTAGGTAGGTAGGTGGGTAGACATGTATGTATGTATATGTGTATGTGTGTATACATACATACATATATATATATCACGTACCGATAGAAGAAGAAGTAGACGCAAGCACTCAACCCGACCACATATTCAAAGATCGACAGCACAGCATGCCCAAAAAACAGCCAGTATGCCGTGATATTTGCCAATATTTTGCATATAGCATCATATAGCCGCACGGCTGTCTTCCTGCCGACGGCACATTCCCAAATGGACGTCCCGGCAGTGCTGCAACCGGGAGACGCTCAGAAGGCACTGAGGATCCAACACCGACACCCATATTCTGGTGTCTTTCCCGCAAATCAGCAACAAGATATCTGAGGACAGGGAGGATGCGATCGGGCGGGTGTTGGCGGCAAGGCAAGGTTCCTTGGTGTCTACGGATGTTCGGACAGAGAAGCCACACCTTGACAGACAGATAGCAACCTGGAAGGTGAGGTCCACAAATTCTAAGAATGTCATACCTTTGGTCACTTTGGTCACCTGAAAACTGAAGGAGACGCTGTAACGGGTCTGGAATCTCACGGGCTGTATGGGCGAGCTCCGGTTCGCTACTTGGGCCGCCCAAAATGAATCGCAAGAGCATCTCGAGTGACCTTCTGATAATGTCTGGTGATTGCAACGACGTACATGTAGAGAGGCATTGCCACACACGCACACACACACACTCACAGCATTCAAGTAGAGTGTCTTCCGCAAGTTTCTCTGCTTGTCACACATCCTTTCACACGACTGACGAACAGGTACCCCTCCGGCGCGCTGTTGGGTGACAACTCGGTCATCCGTCCATCTCCACCGGATGCCTTGCAGAGGTCAGTCGCTGGCAGATGCTGCAGTTGCCTGAATCCATGACTGGTTTGTCGGTTGAGCAGAGGCCTAATTGACAGAGAGCGTCATGATTTCTTGAAGCTCGTTGCAGGTATCGCAGCCTGGCAAACCAGATTCATCCAGAACGCTGTGTGGACCCACGAGCCGAGAAGGCCTTCGTGCGTGCATCCCAAGCTTTTGCTTGCAGCCCAGGTTGCTCCGGCTCGCGCGTGCTCTAGCAGTTCACCTGTCGCAGTTTGCCGGCACGTCAAGTCTAAGGATGTGCTGTGCGAGATGGACTCCGACCCTGACAACTCGCCCGATTTCGCCGCATGGGAGGCGCGTACTGTGTAGAGATGAGATGCAGACAGAGACTGTTCCACAGCTTGCTGTTCCTTATAGTGTTCTTGTCAGTTCATGTGACGCACTCAGCTTACATTGAAACCACGCAGCATATGGCAACAACAGACATCAGCCGCTAGCCACGTGCGAAGGCCTCTATCTCACAACCAGCAGACATGGCTTCCTGCAGTGGGAGATGGTGGTGCGACACTTGGCTGCATCCGCGCGTCGGAGGGTGACTGTAGATGACTGTAGCCCGCTGCCTGTTGCCGCATGCAGGTGAGTACTGTGGCAGATCTAGATCGTTGCTTGGAGTTTCGCTATGTTGCCATGGATATTCTTTTCAAGCTGACAGCTCGTGCCGATGAAACTCGCATCCCTCTTGAGAAGCTGATCCGGGACGGCGAGAAGATCTGTGAGCATCTGGATAGGCAGCAACAAATTCCCCGCCACCGCCTGTGGCCTGCTAAACGTGCGAAATCTCAAGGAGCCGACGCAGCAGTGTTGCGCTATTTGGACTTGTTGTGCCACCTGCGTAGCGTACACTGCTTTTGTCAACTTCGCAACCAGCACTTTCATCACTCAGTGGAGCTGCTCGCAGCTTCGCCCGTCACACGGGCGGACATGGAAGCGTTGCTAGCAAAAGCCCTGGCGCCAGAGGCCAAGGCCGGCGAGGCTCTGCGCCAACCTGAGCCGCATGTCAAGGGCATGGGCGACGAAACAGGATTGGATGGATTGGATCCACTCGACGAGTACATGGCAGCAATAGACAAGGCTGCCAAGGAAGCGATTTCTTCCGCAGTGTCGCAAAAAGTATCAGACACAGGAAATTTAGAAACTAGGTTGCGCCATGATCCCTCTGCGAACCAATCGTCTGCGGAGCGGCTCAGTGGGCCGAGTGAGACACTTCATCGAACTGCAGAAGCAGCTGGAGCCGAAGAGCGGGTGGCTGAGTCTGCAGGGAAAGCAGCTGCGGAGAAGGCCGATACATGCTTGGGCTTGAGGGATATCGGCAAGCAGACTAACAGTGACGAGGGCACCGTGCAGTTTAGGTTAACATGCCCCTTCGCGGCAATTTGTCAGAAGCACCAGTTGCTCAGAGTACCATTGAAGCGAAGAGCCAATCTGTGAGCGACACCAACAAGCCAGCTCAGTGACATTAGTCAACAGCGCCGAATCATCTGGAACGGGCCGATAGCCAGGCTAAGGCATCACAGCGATCGCGTGACACAAGGCCTGGTGGCCTTTTTCGGATGCCACACTGTCGAAGCAAATCCCGAGCAGAGGATTGTCATCACCAGACTGACAACTCACACAGACCCCGCAGACGAACGGCATTTGCGGACATCAGTGTAGCCAGAACAATATTCGATGACACAGTCAGCATATGCGATTCCTTGGCGCGTGCCCCATACGAGAAGCAGTGCTGCCGGAACTGGAACACGACGGCAACGAAGAGAAGCAAGCAGAATGTTGAGCAGGTTGATGAAAGGGGTACCACGGTTCCGTACCCTCCATGTTCAAGCGTCGATCATGAAGTGAAACAGAACGTCGTGATGCAGCATCCGATAAGTTGTTGTTCGAAGTACAGTTGCTGCAAGAAAAGCCAGATGAACCTAGCATCGGCGTCGGAAAATGCAGACTGACCAAATTATGGAGGACAGGGCAACACCTCAAAACGCGAAGCAAGTCCCTATGTATAATCGAAGTTTTGCATGATGGTTGTCTATGCAGCCCTGACAGGCTGCAGCCCAACGATGCCTCCAGAATCATCTGTTGGGCGACCTGCTTTCGGATGCTAGGGCCTTTGTCAACCTTGGCCTTGCTTGTCTCAGCTCGCTTGTATTACCGGTTTCGGTTGCCTTGCGACTTCTAATCAAGCTGTGCTGTCCTTGCTGTTTTTCACAGAATGAAACACAAGGGCCTCGGAATTCTGTAAGTGATCCAAACCTGAGCGAACTGAGCGACGGGGCTGCTAATGTCGATTGAAATTCGGTTGATGATGACAAGTTCCAGAGGGCTGGAACGAGAAGGTACAGAGGAAGTTGCACTGCGTCATAGCTTCCTCTGCTGTAGGTGCTGGGTCGGTGGCATGCTCACCTGTGTAGTAGAAAGTCACTGAGGAGTCCGAGCTCGAAGCAGACTGACTCCAAGGCTAAACACGGCAGCCGGCATGACGTGGGTTTGCAAAAAGTCGATTCGACACTTTGCTGCCATGCGGCTGGGATACAACGAAATCTTGCCAGTGCCGCAGCAACGACATGCCCCTTTGCTCAGCTTGCTATTCCGGCATGTAGCCATAACTCAATAAATCAAATGGTTCTGGCATGATGCGAGATAGAGTGTTGGAACGATTGAAACCGCTTCGTGCAATGGGCAACATTATCGACAACAACCTTTGTTGCGCTCGCTCCGCGAAGGTCAAGGCAAGGTACGACGTAAGATGATTCCGATCGCCGGGCTGATCCTTAACTGCTTTTACCTGCTTTTACAGGTGGAACTGGACCGATTCAAGAACCGCCTCGAAGCTTGCAACAAGAAGCTCGATGCTTTGGTGCAGGCACGGCGAAGCGGGGGGCAGGACAGTCAAATCAAATTCTTGCTGGTACCTGGTCAAGGAGGAAATCAATGACATTTTTGGACAAGTTGATGTAGACGGCAGCCAAGCTCTTGACCTCAAAGAGGCCAAGGCTTTGGTAGGCCAGGCCTTGAATCATGCGAAGAGTGCCCGAGAGTGCATGACACACTTACGTAAGCAGATGTGGTCACACAGCATGACGAGGCAAGTTGGAGGAAAGCGGCTTCTTGGATATCCAAAGTCCGAAACCCTGTATTCAGATAAGTTGCCCGAAGTTGCTTTCCAGCCGTAACCACTACGTTCAAAAATGATGACTAGCCTGACCCAGACTGAAGGTTGTTTTTGGCTAGGTAACCAAGGTCAACCACTTAGCCGGAACATGATATGTTTGCGAATGTCCCAGGCTTCGAATTCCCTTCAGACGTCAGCACCTTCGATCAGGATGGCGACGGCAACATAAGCAGAACAGAGGCAGCACGTTACAGCAAGCAAGAATGCAACTTATAATATTCGGAGCTCGTGTCTTATAGGAGCATGCTTGTCGACTTGCGAACCTTGTGCAGGTCTCGCTTGCTGTGCGAGCAGCACTGCGCGAGCGTCCCAAGCTTCTGGGATGAAGGTTGGCGTGTAGCAAATGCAGTGTAGTCTACAGAGTGTACCATCACGGGAAAATCAGCTGTCATGGAGGAATGCAACATCACGTGCAAGGATGCTAGAATTGGCTGAGGAATTTGGAGCTTTTGAGCAGCAAGTGTGAAGATGTGGATCTCTTGAGCAGAGATGCATGGGACTTGACTCTTGGTCGTTTTAAAGCATGTGCGCAGACAAGTCTTTACTCTATCGCGCCTGGAGCTACGCATCAACACTTGTAAGGATTGATGTCACGAAAGAGCCTTATCTGCAAATACTGAAGCCTGCGCATGCCTGAGCATCGCCGCCGGGCACGGGCAATGGAGTGATGAAGAGACTGTCTGCGTTTGACACATCGAATAGATTTGCAGATTTGCACCGAGCCGAACGCCCTTACATATGCAACTGGCTTTAGAATGGCGTTGATGAACACTGTCATCATTCGTACGTGTCCCCTGCTGGAACCGGAATGCTGTCGAGATGCAGCGAAAAGCTGCTGTCGGCACCTTGCAGCTTAGATACGTTCGCAGGCGCACGCAAGTTTTGGCCGGCCTTGCACAGTCTTCGGTCTGGTGGTGCCGCTGTGAAAATTCAATTGTCGATCTTTCGAAAAGGACCCGACTTCGCACCGACACAAAGTCATTTCGGACCTTCGGGCAGCATCGCGTGTTGTTCGTAGTACTTCACCCGTGCCCAGGATGGATACATTAGCATCCCAGAGCTGTCCATGTTCTACGGAGATCTCGGGAAGGCCACGGTTTGAAGTTGGGCTTTAGTTTCATTCCGCGCACATGATGCGACTGCTCGCTGCCGGCTTGGCATCAGTCAGCATCAGGCCGGTCTTGCCTCTCCCTGCAGGTCATGGATGAGAAGCCTCCGACATATCAGGACAACATGACATGCATGTTTCGGAGGGGCCTAACGAGCCCAGGCGACGCCAACGGTTGTATCTTGCACTTCCTTGAAGTCGAACTCAGCCAGAACATCCTCCCGAAACTAAGTTGCTTGCATGCTGCTTCCGCTTTGCAGGTCCTCCGTTTTGTGTGGGTTAGTGTAAGTGCATATATATATATATATACATACATACATACATACATACATACATACATGTATGAGGCTCATGCCTTTCTGGTCTATTTAGCGTGGGCGAGGCCTGGGCCCCATTGCCTCTTTCCATTTTATGCCTGAGACTGGTGTCATTTTTATGCCAATCTGATTTTCTTTATGCTGCCCCCCTCTCCTCTTTCTGCTCCATGAGCCAGATGGAAGGGGAGGAGGGGCTGGGCCCCATTGCCCATTTTGTCGAGCCTGACTTTTTCTTATGCTGGCCTCTATGCGGCGAAGCGGATTTCAGTCGCCATGCATTCGATTCAACAACCATGATTCAGAAACAATCAACAGCAATTCAGAAACCAGGGTCAGCCGATTCAGCAACGATAAGGTTAATCAACGGGCTTATCTCAAAACGGAATCAACAAAGGGATGAATCCAGATTCAAGCTGACTGTCAGGGTCCATGCCGCATGTCGTTGACGGCTCGTATTGCCCGCTCACCTCGCATCTGCAACTTCTTAACGAAGCGAGCTCCAAACTCATGATCTCCGCTTGTCATATCCATGCGGCTTACATGTGCGCCGCCTATGCCCGGTGCACGGAGCCGATGTCCGACCAACTGGCGCATGTCGTTGAAGGTTCGTACTGCCCGCTCACCTCGCATCTGCAACTTCTCAACGATGCGAGCTCCAAACTCATGATCTCCATCTGCGCCACCTACCCGGTGCACTGAGCCGATGTCCACCCAAGCTGTGTCGCAGGCCGCCAGCAGCTTTGAAGCCAAGCCAGGCGCCAGTCGGCGCTTGAGTGTTCCCTTTTCTTTTAAGAGCTGCACGGCATGTTGAAGCATGGCTAGTTTGAACCGCATCCTGGAAACCACCTGCAGCAGGCCCTTGCACGTAGCGCAGAGCCGAGCTATGCTGTCGAAGTGGAGATGATCTCCATTGTTTTGCAGAACGGCGCTTAGTGCTGCTCGGGCAACTGGAGTGGAGCACGGGGCCGTTGCAGGACTCGCGTTAAATGTTTCGGAACTCTTGGTCCAGACACTTGGTTTTTGCACTTTGAAGACGTCCTGATACAGTTTTCGTTGTTTTCTTCGGTTCTCCTGTACCAACCCCATGATTCACCATGGCTTGGGTGCACAACAAAGGGCAGTACGAACCATCAACGACATGCGCCAGGAACTGAATGAGTATGACATGTTCTCTGGCGACTACAAGGGCAATCTTTGTAAGATTCATTTGAACAAGCGAGGGCCTCATCTGGAGTTTTTTCTGCACGGGGCTAAAGTTAAGTTGCCAAAGGCCTCAGCGGCTGTGGTCCTGACAGGCCGCGCAAGTGTGTGGGCTGGCCGGTGGATACCTCGGCTGCTCGTTGGCCATGAGCCCTCGGAGGGGGAGGCGTTGGGTGGTGCATGCTGTTGAAGTTTCGTATATTGCCCGCCCACCTCGCATCTGCAGCTTCTCAACGGAGCGAGCTCCAAACTCATGATCTCCACTTGTCATATCCATTCGGCTTGCATCTGCACCACCTACCCGGTGCATTGAGCCACGGCACACTCGGGTAGCAACAGCTCTCGCCTACAGGTTGCACACCACAGAATAGTTGGACTTGCGCTACCTCGAACTTGTGATGTTGGACTCCACGGTCTTCGTGTATGGAAGCCCTTCCTGCAGTAACCATCGCCGACCCGTAGCGTAGCGGCACATCCAAGAGCAGGAAGAGCACGGCGGAGCCAACACCACCAACCCCGCCTGCACGGAGGCAGAGCGCAGCAGAGAGGTGCAACCTCATTTCCACGTGCATGGTCACAGGTTCATCTGATCGGCAGAAATTAGCAGCTGTGGATTGCAACACAAGCAACATAGCCGGCCGAAGTGTTGATGTTTGCTTGGTCGCCCATGTTAATATCCAGCTTGATAGCTGCATGTCCTCGAGACCGTGCCTCTGTAGTAATCGCCTCGGTTGTTCTAGGAAGCAGGATGACCAGAAGGACTCAAGTAAACACGAACGTTCCATCGCTAGTGCGTACCATGTAACCGCCTCGCCAGCAAAGATTTCGAGAACATCTGCCGATGCTAGCGTCATGTCCTGGAGCTGGCACGGACAGTCATATATTTCTGGCCTGGGTGGAATGTGTCGCACAAGCATTAAGACGCCTTCTAATATGAAGCAAGGTCACATCGACATTGCCCATGCAAGTGAGCAAGTACAGCAGGAGGATGAGGATCCGAGGAAGTTTCAAATCCCAGCATGCTCTTGGCTCTCCCTTCGCACGCCCGCAATTGTCGGCATGCCAACAACAGGTGAAACTTCAGAGGGTTGACAAATGCCAGCATGCAGCACTGCCACACGTATTAACACATGTGCACATGCATGTGTTTGTGTGCGTGTTAAGTGAGCAAGTTTTTGTGTCGTGTGGGGGGGGGGTGTATGTCTGATTGTGTGCACAAGGCTTTACAAGGTCAAAAAGTGCGTGCTCTGTTTACGAGGTTTCAATAGTTTTAATCTTCCAAAGAATTAAAAAAATTGAAGTGAGGGTCCATTTGCATATTTTTATCTGTCTTTAATCATGGAAATTAGTTAAAATACGGGGGAACCCTGTAGAGACCACATAAGCACGCCGATTTACTTCTGTTAATTCTTTGGGCCTCAAAATGATTAAAATACTTAAGTCAGTCCTGTGTTTTAGGTACCATGAATAAAATAGTTAAATTAAGGGCCGGGCCCTCCTAGCAATTAAGAAAAATAAATGGGGCCCTATTTGATTATGTTGTTTCTCGGGCCCTGCAGATAATTAAGATAACGAGTGTGTGAGTCGAAACGGGCCCTTTTTGATTAGTTGAATTCTCGGGGCCTTATATTAACAGAAATAATCAAGTGGAGTTCTATTTTTACTTGTTTGTATTCTCTTAATTACGTTATTTGTATTCAGTCCTTTCTAATATAATTAGGGCGTCAGACAGACCCTAAAGGCGCTTCTCTCATACATGTATACGTTTTGCATATGTATCTAAACATAAATACGTGTTTTATTTGTTGCTTGAATTTCGTGTGTGTATATATATATATTATACATATATTTTTTTTACAGAGAGAGAGAGAGAGATACAAGATAGATGGACATGTGCATATACTTGTACCCATGACAGATACCTTTATACACTAGACACATCCAAACGTATGTGTATATACATATACACTAGCCTGAAAGTGCAAACCACCCTAAACCCGAACCAAGCCCATCTAGGCACACCGCGGGTGCCTGCTGTTCTGCAGGTTTGCATTGCCAAGTTGTATAGTTTTAGATTTACTGTACCATGTTCTGTTGAGTTTCAATGAGTTTACGGCCCCACCCAGGCCGACCCTCTGGTCCACACCCCACCCCCTCCATCCCCCCGCAACCTTCGATTGGACGCAGCCGACCCCCGCGGAGGGTGCGACAGGGTGCGACAGGAAGAGACGGCGAGAAGCCTCCTGCGGCCTGGCTGCCTGCCTAGTGGCCTAGTACAGAGAAACTTTGGGTCAAAAGACAGGGCGCTGCCAGCAGACCTCGCGCAAAGGAGGACACTTCACCTTGCTCGGACGTGAGTTTGTGGGCTAAAACGCTTGATGGCTTGTGTCGAAAGAGGCCTAGGATGACCCATATCATCCATACATGTTGGAAAACCAATGAAGAGTGCAATTCATGTGTCGTTCCCCTCGTTCACGTGCTGCGTGATTAATCATTTCTCGCAAACTGTGCACGCTCGGCCTTTCTCCTTTCATCGAGACGTTGGTACTTCATGCACTGTTTTTCTGTTGCTGCAGGGTTTCAGGCAGCTCGTCTTTGGCAGACTTGGTTTGTACAATGGTATTGAAGGCGACCTCGCCGCGTGCGGTCCCAACCATAATCTTGCTGCTGGAGATTTCTGGCTGGTTGACTGATCTGTGTTATGTTTTAATGAAAACGGACATGCGATTGTTTGCGTGTCCGCTTCGAACGACAGGAGCTACTCGAGCTTGCTAAGAAGTGCACCGGAATATGATGTTGACCTCAGCGTTGTTGCAAGCCCGGCTCTGGTGCAACGCAGGTACGACACGGACAGCGACAGCGTGCTGACGTACGAAGAGTTTGAGCTGTTTTTTGTCGACTACCTCTGCCGGACTGACTGTTGCAACTGTTGCGTCTGGCTTATGGCTTAGCTTCATGTCTTCCTGACAGCCCCTTTTCTCCGAGAATCGTCGCAACTCCCAACAGGTTTTCACTGTCAAGCATACGACTAACAACACCAACCGAGGAAGTCGTGCATAATTCAGCTGAGGGTGACAAAAATTTGAAATCACAAAGCACTTGTTGAAGGTTTAGAATCCTTCTATTGCTGCGGGCGTCCTACTAAGCATTTCACATAGTAAAGCAAAGAGGAATTGCATTCGATCTGTTTGGATAAACTCGCAAGGACAACACTACTACTACTGCTGCTACTACTACTACTACTACTACTACTACTCCTGCTGCTGCTGCTGCTACGACGACGACGACGACTACTACTACCTCTACTACTACTACTACTACCACCACCACTACCACTACCAGTACCACCACCACGACAACGACTGCTGCTACTGCTGCCGCTGCCACTCTACTACTACTCTTTTGTGCTAATTCGTCTGTTCTGCTGACTATACTCTGTTGGGTAAATCTGAGTGCCTTTGCCATTTGCCACCCCGCGGGGCTTGCCATGACCACCACCAGTACTTGTACCGCTTCTACCACTCCCACTGCCACTGCTGCTGCTGCCAGCACTACTCTAGTGATACTCCTACTACTACTACTACCACTACCACTACCACTACTACTACTACTACTACTACTACTACTACTACTATACTACCCGACGGTGCCACAATTGACGCCATGCTTCTCTTCACTTCAGGGCCTCAAACGTGTGGT